CGGCGAAATGGCAAAGTAAGGCAAGTTTCGCCACTCACCCCTCGACCGAACCTGAATGGCCGCCAAAACTTTTAACAGGATTCAGTAGCTGAAGGATTGAACTACACAATGATATGCAGGAGAGTCTGTAAGTGTGAGCCACTTTTGAGATTTAATCCACTGAATTTGGCCAAAATCGTATGTTTCGCTAAGTGGGTCAAAGGGGCTAAGTGCGTTTTCTTCAGATTTTCTAAACGAAAAGGTGTTGCTGATTCTGACCTGTACTATTTTAAAGATAAAGGCTCAATTAAAATAACTAGTAAATTGGAAGCTTTGGGTCGCACTCTTTTATCCGGAGCAATCGGTTGAATTTTGACAAAATTTGCAAATTTCACAAGCATCTCAGGTCCTCATGTGGCGCCGAAAGAAAATTCGTTAAAAAAAATTTACAGAAGCGAATTTCTCCAATCTAGTTTCATATTTGTTATATACTTATTAAAAGAAGTCTACAGAAAAATTATGAGCGAAATCCATTTTGTGAGCAAAACTCGATATGAGGATCTTACAGAGACTGGCTCTTAATTGATTGCGTGACTACCTAATTGTGTGGTATGCTCTAGGTCTAAATTTTTTTATTTCACGATGTAGAACTAGTGAATTTATGCTTCAAATAAACACCTATTATCAATGTTACTGTTATTGTTATTATTATTATAACTATGATTTGAAACAAATGAAATGAAGCGTTAAGTTTTTGTTTGCTGCTTAGTCAGCCATTACCACAGTAGCGAAGGTAGTGAGTACCATCATCGGATGTGCTGTTGAGATAGTACACTAAATATGAACCACAATTTCGCGGCTTGATGCTTGTTGACCAGTAACAGCAGTTATTACTCCAGGAGAAACACACCGTCCTGGTGACTGGAAGGTCACTGACTTTGGGTTCACCACCTCTCATCCAGCCAGGTGCATTAGTGTTGCACGTATTGACACGTCGTGGATTATATTTATTTCCATATTTATAACTATATCTCGGACATGAGTCTTTCATTTTTGTGCCTGCGCCCCCCTCAAAACGGTACCATCCCGGTCCTTCTCCCTTGTCAGTCTTCCTAGTTCTTATGCCGAAATCCACCGTCCTGTCAGCGTTGGTAAGACTCCTGTATCCTTTACGCTTGTCGTCGGATAGCTTGTTAGGCGGGCCGGTTTCGGGTAGGCATTCTGACAAAAAATGATTCCCTCAAAGTTAATTAATAATCATAGTAATTATAATGATTATGGTGATGATGATGATGATGATGATGAAGATGTGATGTGTCAAAAGAACTGAAAGTTATTTTATTTGCCGATGATACTAATGTCTTCCTTTCTCATAAAAAATCTTAATCTCCTGATACAGAAGGTGGATTTTGAATTGATTAAATTAACCTCTTGGTTCCTAGCTAATGGGCTGTCAATTAATATCAAGAAAACTAAAAATATAATAATAACGCTTGATTGTTTAATAGTAAAGCTTTGTGATCATACTTTAGCTCCGTTTTGGAAAGTTACACTATTTTTCTAGGGGTGATTTTGGATGAGCATCTGTCATAAAACATTGCTTACGTAGCTTCTAAAATTTCCAGGTCTTTAGTTGTTATCGCCAAGTCAAGCTTTTGCCTTTACAAATCTGCTTTGCGTACACTCTATTTTCTCCCTTGTCCATCCCTATTTGCAATATTGCGTAAGTGTTTGGGGATCGACCTATCCTACTAATTTGAAAGGCCTCGTACTGCTGCAAGAACGAGCTATGAGAATCATAAGCAAATCTTGTTATGATGCTCATACAGACCCAATGTTTAAGAATCTTGTTTGTATCTTAGAAATGTGTATCTTTGTATCTTAGAAATAGGTAAAATAATGTTTCAATATAAAACTGGGTTGTTACCAGATATATTTAAAAACATTTTTATATGAAGGAATCAGGTTCATAGTTATGATACCAGGAATGCCAGATCCTTTCATGTTCCTAAGTTCAGAACTAACATAAGACGCTTTTCATTGCGATATCAAGGTCCCTTGTTTTTTTAATTCACTTAGTACAGACATTCTAAGCTCGGTTAGTGTATCAAATTTTAAGAAAAAACTGAAGAATCACCTTCTTACTTAACTTGCTCCTTTCCCTCCACCCCACTTTGTGGGCTTTGTGTTTTGTCTTTATTTTTATTTATTTATTTATTTAATTTATTTTGTTTTTTCTTTATCACTTTGTTTTGATACCATATTCCATCGTATTATTGTTGATCTTCCTTCGCCGTTCTGTTAAATTAATACCAGCAAGTTTATCTTTTGTAGTTTATAGGGGAAGCCCACGTTGTACAAGCGTCATGGTTTCTTTGGGCTTTCCTGCCATTTTCCAACGACGAATTAGTGTTAGTTACGTGGAGTAGAGTAAGCTGGTCATACTGGGATATGTTGCAGACTGAAGCAAGGCACCGAAGAAAGACCCGTTTAAACATCCTCTACTCCTGATTGATGTTTCAGATGTTTGCCAGTGTACTTACCGTCTACTAGACGACCGCAAATTCTTCCATCGCCCGTAAATTGATTGATGCAAAAACAGCTAAAGGACCCAACTGTATTAAAACATCCAGTAAGTGAAGGATGACAGTTGTGAGTTCTCCTGGTGCACTCGTCGATATCTACGAAAAGACAAATACTGCCATTTATAGTCACAACTTAGTTTACCTAATTTATGAATTTAACAGGAGGCATTGGAGCTCAGTCATGGGAATAAGAATTTGTGCCATCCCGGGCACGAACGCCTAGCCTGAGTAGCCTCTAAAGGCCAACAGACGTGAATAATAAATTTTAGTATATATACACTCATTGATCTTGGTGATTTCAAACCAATCCCAATCTGATTGGTTTGATAAACGTTCTTTTGATATGAAAATTTGGCAAAACTAAAAATGGCTTAGAACGCGGTTTTGTTTAACACCTTACTAAACTGACTCCGTTTAAATAATAATAATAATAATAATAATAATAATAATTATTATTATTATTATTATTATTATAATTGTTGTTAGTAGTCTTTGGATAGTCATTTTACGACAATTCTCTTTTGTACACAAGAAGAATGTACATAGGGTATATATTTTAATGTTTCATATTCTTGAATCTGTAAATAGTCTATTTTTTTTAAATCTATGAATAAAGTTTTGTATTATTATTTTAAAAAATAATAATAATAATAATAATAATAATACCAATAATAATAATATATACTTTTATTATATAGACACGAGTGTTTTACTGGAAAATATACCACTCGTAAAATTCATAAAAACTACATCCGGGACCCGAGTGGTTTATTTTCCATAATCTCACACGTGAGTTTATCGATGACGTAATTTTGGTAATTTTCCTCTATTATTTTATCGATGTCATTTTGTCTATATAATAAAAAGAAACTTACACGGCGGCTTGAAGATATGAATTTTATTTTCGAGTGGCAAAAACAATAAATTACTCACTCGCTGCGCTCGTTCTTAAAATATTGTTTTGCCACTCGAAAATAAAATTCATATCTTCGCGGCACCGTGTAATATCCTCTATATATAGCGCCTTTCTCTCAGTGATCCAAAGCGCTTTTGCCCTGGGTGCCAGGGACTTTTCTAGCGCGGTTTCCGGTTTCTGTCAAGTCTTTTTAGTTACCCGCGCGAAAAACGGTTTTTTCTCGCGGCTTCGACCTACGGCCAAAGAAGTGTCTGGCCTTCGGCCAACACCGAAAATTCCCGCCGCAGGCGAGAAAAACCTCTGGTACCCAAGGTAAAGCGCTTTACAATCAGTAATTACTTAGAAAACAAATAATACAAATACAACATAACAGGATTTAAAACCCCAACTGGCAGGAGGCAACCAGTAGGCTATTAACAAGCGTGGCCGAGAATTTGAACTTGGGACGACCGAGCACAAATCTAGCAAGTGGCCAGAGCGGGATTTGAACCCGGGACAACCGGATTGCGAGTCCGACACGCTAACCAGCCCTTAGGGCCAGTTATTTAAGCGGAGTTTAGCCCGGCAGTGTTTAACAAAACCGCGTTCTATGAGCCATTTTCAGTTTCCCCAACGCTTTTAAATCAACACTATTTATCGTGTAAGTTTCGTGAAAGCGCAAGGTATACACTGGAGAAGGAAAAGCACTTACTTTCTTAAAATTACCCACTAAGGAATTAAGCCCAATTTAGATTTCGTTGAAATAACTGACCCCCCTCTTAGGACGCAAAGTTTTAGAGTAAGAACTTTTTAAACACACTGAGAAAATCCAAGCGTCGATCTTTTTGAAGACGGTATAGAAAAGACTTCAAGTATTTTAAACAGCGTGATTTATTGCAAAGTGATTAGCTGTAGCTGCGACTTTTACGCTCGAAGTAATTTTTACAACCACGGAGCTATTATTAAAAGGAGAACGAGGCCGTTTGGTAAACTCGATCTTTCCTTACAAGAAGAAATTCGCCTAGAAGTCGAAGATAACTTATGAAGGAAAAAAATCAAAGTAAGTATTTTCGAAAAGCTGTTCGTGCTACCAAGAATAAGCAAGGTAAAGAACACAACATTTTAACAAGTCTCACGACGATCGGAGCTGCCATTGTCAGCACTTTCAAGAAGCGACAAAAAAAAAAACTTTTTTTTTATTTGTGAGTTAATTTTGATAGAAGCAAATGAAGCTCTTAATTTCTTCTCAGATGGAGGTAGTCATTTAAACTTTTGACGATCTTTTTTCAACCGTTGACTCTATAGCTTACACAGTTATTGAGAATCTATGACATCCTTGAAAATACTGTAAAGATCTGACGTATTAATTAAAGAAGTCATTTTTAAGGGTTTTTTTTTTTTTTTTACATTCCGTTGTATACGAAAATAATCTTGGTGAGTAGTTGCCTTGTAAATATTTCCTTCGATTTTTTATCTTCCTCAGTTTGCTTGTTTGTTTTCTATTCATTTAATTGCCTAATACCTGTGCAGTCCGTGTAAGCATCTCCAGTGTATCCGACTTTGCATACACCTATGTATGAACCCACGGTATTCCGGCATTCAGCATTGACACCACAAGTATAGGCATTAGTAGCACATTCGTCCAAGTCTGAAAAAAGCAAAGTACTCCGTGTTATAAACACATATCTTTACAAAGGTAGCGTCACTTTAAATTTTGGAATTTGTTCCCGCTTTATGTAACTGAGGTGATTACAAATAATTAAGAACGGGCGTTGCATTATTGCGGGCGAGCAGAGAAGACCACTTACTTCCAACTCTGCAGACCGTAACTAGTACACGTGCGCAGCACGTATGTTGTCAAAATTCGTTCAGACTTGCACTGAGAAAGAATGAATTTATTAATCACGCGCGTTTTGGCCTCCTAGAGAGTGCCTACCATTTACACAAACCACACGGTTTTAAGTCTTGTGCATAAAAATAAAACTATGAAATTTGACGTCGTGACAGAACGACCCGCTGCAGTGTATATCTAAATCAGCTGAACAGACGAAAAAGGGTGGAAAAATTGTATCCCCGGGCCCCCTCAAATCAGATCGAGCCCATGTTTTCTCAGGCTCCGCAAATAGAATAGTCTCCCACGCAGGCGTTTTTAGGGAGTGTAGCTAAATTTCGTGGGTCGTGGGTAGTGGGTAGAGGTCGTGAGTCGTGGGTCGTGGGTCGTGGGTCGTGGGTCGTGGCTCGTGGGTCGTGGGTGTGGGTAAATGTCGTGGGTAAAAAAAAGTTTTCCAAAAAAAAAATTAAAAAATTAAAAGGCAAAAGGTTGTAAAATTCATGAAACGAAAATCTCAGAGGACATGCCAGTCCTATTCCCTTTCCCCGCGGTCAGCAAAGCAAATAAGCGAATCATTTAGTACAAACAGACACAAAAATAAAAGAAACTCTGTACACTATGTAAGCCTATAGCAGGCTTTAGAAAACTGGACACTGAACTGCTTTTTCTAAAAAACGTCAACATGCGTGACAGAAACGCCTTTCAGTTAAAGGAGTGATATTTAGAATCGTTACAGCAAAGATTTTGTACGCAAAACAAAAAAAAGAATCGAGAAAATTATATTTACGTAAGGCAATAAAATTTACATACAGTCTCGCCTTAACTTGAAAGGTTGGGAATGAAGGTGGTTCCTTCATGAGGTAAAAGACCTAAAACTTCTTTAAGAAAGACTTCTATCCAAAAATATGAAATACCTCAAAATTGATTTTTTTCCCTCCCCTTTCCCATGGTGATCGCATTCCATCGTGTTAGGAAATCAGTCTGCAGTGATCATTGGAATTGTAGATCGAATAAAGATTAATAGTGAGCAGCCACTTCCATTCAGCGAGTCAGCGCTGTCGATCCTATACTTTCTGCAAATTGTACGTATAACTTACGTCTGTTTCGTTTATTTTGTGGTGATATCTTAGGTATGTATAAATCTTCATCGGCAAGATGTAATGTCTTTTATACAGTGACGGTGTGAAAGGGGAGCCAAGTCCCACGTGGCTAACGAAATATCGGGGCGAGGACGAAGAAGCCGTGACGAGAAGGGCAATCAAGGAGTTGAAGATTTTCGTTTCATAAATATTCTACTATTTTTTCTAGTTATTATTATTATTTTTTTATTATTTTTTCTATAACTTTTTTACCCGGGACATTTAATTACCCACACCCACACCCACGACCCACGACCTCTACCCACTACCCACGACCCACGACATTTAGCTACACTCTTTACCGCGGCAGGATTAGCTCATTCGGTAGAGCGCTTGACTGCAGAGCGGGAGGTCGCAGGTTCGATTCCCGGGACCGGACAAAAAATGACTGAGAAATGAAGGTACTGCCCTTGCCCTGCAAACGGCTAGACCTTCGAGTGGCTCGGATGACCACGTAAAATGGCGGTCCCGTCTCCAGTAGGAAACGTAAGAATAGTGTCCCCAATTAGTGCTTTCGTGCTAAATACATTGACACTCACATGAGGTGCATTTTTTTATCCCTCGCGAGCATTTTGAGACAAGTTTAGTGAAGGTCAGTTGCTATAGTAAAGAGATATGACGTCATAAGGAGTGTAGCTAAATGTCGTGGGTCGTGGGTAGTGGGTAGAGGTCGTGGGTCGTGGGTGTGGGTAATTAAATGTCCCGGGTAAAAAAGTTATAGAAAAAAATGATAAAAAAATAATAGTAATAACTAGAAAAAATAGTAGAATATTTATGAAACGAAAATCTTCAACTCCTTGATTGCCCTTCTCGTCACGGCTTCTTCGTCCTCGCCCCGATATTCGTTAGCCACGTGGGACTTGGCTCCCCTTTCACACCGTCACTGTATAAAAGACATTACATCTTGCCGATGAAGATTTATACATACCTAAGATATCACCACAAAATAAACGAAACAGACGTAAGTTATACGTACAATTTGCAGAAAGTATAGGATCGACACGGCTCTGACTCGCTGAATGGAAGTGGCTGCTCACTATTAATCTTTATTCGATCTACAATTCCAATGATCACTGCAGACTGATTTCTTAACACGATGGAATGCGATCACCATGGGAAAGGGGAGGGAAAAAAAATCAATTTTGAGGTATTTCATATTTTTGGATAGAAGTCTTTCTTAAAGAAGTTTTAGGTCTTTTACCTTATGAAGGAACCACCTTCATTCCCAACCTTTCAAGTTAAGGCGAGACTGTATGTAAATTTTATTGCCTTACGTAAATATAATTTTCTCGATTCTTTTTTTGTTTTGCGTACAAAATCTTTGCTGTAACGATTCTAAATATCACTCCTTTAACTGAAAGGACGTTTCAGTCACGAATGTTGACTTTTTTGAGAAAAAGCAGTTCAGTGTCCAGTTTTCTAAAGCCTGCTATAGGCTTACATAGTGTACAGAGTTTCTTTTATTTTTGTGTCTGTTTGTACTAAATGATTCGCTTATTTGCTTTGCTGACCGCGGGGAAAGGGAATAGGACTGGCATGTCCTCTGAGATTTTCGTTTCATGAATTTTACAACTTTTTGCCTTTTAATTGTTAATTTTTTTTTTTTGGAAAACTTTTTTTTTTACCCACGACATTTACCCACACCCACGACCCACGACCCACGACCCACGACCTCTACCCACTATCCACGACCCACGAAATTTAGCTACACTCCGTCATAAGTAGCAGGTGGTCAAGCCATTTTTGAGTGAAAATGCATGCTTTTTCAACTTTTTACAACAATAAATGTAGAACTCGTGGCTGAAATGATACAAAGTGCCTATTTGTGTGTTATTTTACACGTCAAGCTCAAAAAATTACCGTTTTAACTTGATTTCTAATTCTTGGTAAAATCCAAGATGGTGGCCAAGATGGCAATCTTTGTTGGTGACGTCACAGGCCTCCAGCAGCGCCACCACACATAAAATATACCTCATCTTTTTGATGATATCAAAGGCAAAATAGTTTTTCTGGGGAAGGGTTCCATCATCCATCATTGGAGGCAAGTTATGAAATACGCCAATATCCAAAAAAGCCTTTTAAAAATGTTTGTTAACTTTATGTTATCTCATGCAAACTGAGGACGATTACGATGAGGCACTCATCAATTCAAAAGAATAAAATAACCTAGTAAGTTTTGTTCTGCCCACCTAGAATAGCCCTACTATTTGCGGGTAGCCTCTAACTAAGATAAAATTAAAACTTGATATCACAGTATATTATCAAACTACCTTTAAAACAAGTGTAGTTGAAGCATTTATCACACGATACATCATTCCATTCGTAACGATGAAGAGCACCAAGAGTGTGAACACAGTCTTCGTTCTTCCAGTCGTTCGGTTGATTCGGTGCCCAGAGTTCAAAATCACTTGTATCTTTGCTTGCCCACGCAAAGGAACCCTCCACACTTCGGTCATTGAGTCCGATCCAGGATCTTTCTCCGTTGTGACGGTGTTGAATGTAAAGATTCTCCTCTTGGCTGTAAACCGTTAATAAATTGGAACTCATTGTAGAGCAGTTTGATTGAGCCGTGAGCCACGTGGCGCATGCCCGACTTGTTAAGTAACAGTAGCCATCAAAATAACTCCATTCTGTCAGGCAAATATCTGCATGTGATACAAAATATAAAATGAGAGTGGGATAGCAAAAATTAAGATCGCAATTCTGTATAGTTGCTTTGGACGAAGGCAGCTAGTTTCCTCGTGAAAAGGCCGGCCTTCTTTTGGCAAAAGAGTACCATAGATCCCACTTGTGCTTTATACCTCCAGTCGGCATAAACGCGTTTATATAAAAAATAAAAAGCAGTACTTATATCGGTTGAGTTTATGAAAATGACGTACTTGCGTGTCAAGAGCAAGCTAGACAAGGACGTGCCTTATATTAGCTAAAAACAGATGAAATTAGAATACAGACGTACTTTGTTGATAGCCAGTCCCTTATTACTAATCAGTCAGTTGAGTGACGGAGCCGGGAATGGGTTCAGTGATCATTGACCGAGACTTGGGCTGAATCATTTTTTATGGTAACCTTTTTACGTCATGAAAAAAGTCGCTGCTTTTATCTAACGCCTTTCATTCGAAACAAGCAAACACCACATACATGTCAACGTTCTCGGAGATTAACTATGACGACTTCAAAAAAGCACGAAAATATGTGACATTTGTGACATATTTCAACTCAGAAAAAAATGCATTTTAAAAAGACCCTATTATTACTCTGTTCTCTCTTTGCCTTTAACTACAAAGTTGACACTGTCCTACAACATTTTAAGCGTATGACAATTCGTAATACTTAATAAAGCAACAGGCTGAAATAGTTTAATAGAGTGTTTCAAATCACGTGCTTTAACAAGCTATTTTTTTTTTTTTAATTTTAAAGAGAAAGCGTTTATATAAGACAAGAATTTAACTCCCAGCGGGCTGCTGTGGGACACCAACATGGCGGATTTAACCTCCTGTTAAAATGGCTTGAAAAGGCTCTTCCTACGGTGTATTTTAGTTTTCCTTTTTAACCTCGATTTAGTTTTTAGTAGGTAAAACCTGTAGAATTAAAACGCGCCCTTACCTGTCATGACATTATATGATACGGAAAGAGGATCATATTTTGAGTCGTACAATTCCTTTAAACACACTCGAGCCCTGTTGTGTTGATGTACTTAAGGAAAGTAAACTTAAGGTTATTATCAAACATATTACAAATGCTAGTGTAAAGGGTACAAAATATATTACCATATCTTCGTGATGTTAACGGAAGTAATGTTTGCCTATATATTTACGTTTGTCTACAATACCACACCCACCTCAACCCAAGCTGTTATGGAGTTGTGCATTGGATCCACGCCTCCCCCACTTGAAGTGTGATTCGCTGATACAAAAACACTTGGAGCATTCTTGTACACTTTAACAAAGGAAATATCCTAATGAGCCAGAACAACAGATTTGAAACTTCGATGCAAAGAGGAGTTAACGAAAACAATACAAGTACAACGTATTAATATCAAACAAGAGATTATATGCTGACCCTGCAGAATGCGTTATTGTTCTTGAGGAGGCTGAGAGTTGGCAAAATATATTGAGTTGTGCTCCGAGAAAAAGGGCGTCTCAATTGATGAAAAAGCCAGCCAATTCTATAACAAAGAAACGAACGGATAAAAAAGGTAAAAAAGAGAAACATTCATTAACTGCTAGTGTAATATGCGGTCGTACCTTTCTATCGCCTAAACAGGAAAAACGAATATGTCGAATACGACGTAGAAAAGAAAGAGAACAAAGAGGAAAAACATACAACGGAAATATCTTCATGTGAGCCTGCGTAATTTTGTAGCTCTCTCAAACATATCTTGAATGACGATAGCGAAATGTCTTCCAACCAAACACTGGCGGCGTCTCTCTTCAGTCCAGCACGATGATGTGCAGCAGTTATGAAACCTGAAGGTTGCTCTGGAACCTTACCACGACCAGGGGAGAAAACTTTAGACTGAAAAAAAAGCAACATGCGGTCAATTTTAAAGTCAAAGTATTATTAGAAGCAGGAATACTAGGCTCTGGAATCCGGAGACTGACAAAGAATCCGAAATCCAGTACCTTGAATCCGGAATCCACAGCATGGAGTCCAGAACCCAAGACTGTCTTGGATTTAATTCCTTAAATGGGGCGAAGCTCGAGTTTGAAAAGGCATCTTATCAATTTATTTTGCAGGTGGTTTGGCTTCTTGGGTATCTAGGTATACGGTATTTTGGTGTCAAAATGCGGGTATAGAGTATCTCGTTTTCCTGAATGTTAAGTATTAGGATTTATGTTGACACAGTGCTCGAAGTTGCAAGCTCAAGGGGCTGGCAAATGAGGGAAAGCAAATAGCTTATGACCGAGTGCAGTGCACTAAAAGTTATACTCTTTACATGGGTGTGTTATCTTTCAGTAACCTGGGCCGAGTTGTTCAAAGCTGGGTCAAGATAACCCAGGCTTAGTTTGAAATTTCAATTCAGATATGAGAGCTTAAAAAGAAAACTCAGTTTAATTCTTTTCGTTTACAATTTGATGAAAGAACATTCTAAAAAGAATAGAATAAATTATCCGAGAAAGTGCTGTTGATAAAGAGAAAAAGACACATGGGTTAAAATTTAACCCTGGGTTAGTGGTAATCGGCCTTCGAACAACTAGGCCCTGGATAATTTTTAGTTATACGGCCGTGTTGTATTTCAAGGATTCAAGGCAATTTTAGATATCTGGAATCAAAGATTTTAGAATTTTAAGGTATATACTGATACATGTATCTTATGAAAAAAAATTATTGGTATCCCACTAACCCTCTCGCCGGGCTTGAAAACAGGTAATACTTTCTTAACTGTGTATAGTGTTTAATAGACAAAGTAAATCATTGAGGTGTAGAAATTACTTACCGAAGGAAAATTCACTGTCTTGCATGTTGTCCCAGTCCACCACTGTGACATGCGCACCTCTCCAGAGACCCCAGCATCTGGGGCTCCCTGATAAGCTAGCCAGTCTATGGACACATTAGCACGTGACTTGCGCTAGTTAAAACCAGCCTCCATCACGCAAGCAGTAAATTGTTCGACTCTCACATCTTCAATCCACGACACCGCAGCATCGTGGACATAGTTCATGTCCCTGGTATCAACGTGATTAACAGTTACCTGCACTTGGATGGGTTTGTCGGGATAGAACACGAATGGTCGTAGATGAATTACTTCACAATGCGAATACCCCAAGGATGGTATATGAGGCATATGAAGTCGCAAGCGTTGATATGGGAATCCTAGAAACAAAACCAATTTAATGTAACTTTGACAATAACTGAGAGATTTTTCGCCTACAAGGTGGTCGACAACCACTGTGTGCGAGAAAATACACAATGAAATTTGAAATGGAACCATGAGAGCGCGATATCCTTGTTTTAATTGGACGTTCAACATCTTTTTATGAATATAGATATAAGCATGTCATAACAGTCTGTTCACAGTCCCCTATTTTTTCGTAAGACCGTCAAGATCGAGCGCTTACCAGTACTGGCGTCCATCTTGATTTCATATGTACCCAGGGGGCGCGAGTCGGGGCTAATAGCCCCTGAGTAGATTTGACACTCATCCAAGGTGACCCCCATTAACGCAAAGTCTTCGATCTCGACGATCGTTCGGGAAAATATGGGTGTAATGTCTTAATTAACGTATTACTGCTCCGTAAAACCAATTGGCTGACCCAAATCTGAGACAGTCGAAAGGTATGTCATGAGGATCAGGTTTATCGTTTGTTTGTTTGTTTGTTTTTCTATTCTGTTTGTTATACAAGAAATCCATTCTATGATTTGCCTTTCTTTTTCAGTATACTTATACTAGTTCATGGAATGTCCGCAAAATGTGGTAAGAACTTTTGAAGGGTGTCAACACACTCTCTCTTTCGTTCGATTTGTTAGCTATTTGTTACCCACAATCACATAAAGACAATTTAAGGGCAACGGTTAGGCTTATAATGAGTAATTACAGCCGTACAAAGGCTGCCTCCTCCGCAGCCTTTCCCAAGGCTAACTGGGGATTAGGAACACGCGAGAGCGAGAAGCGCGAGAGAGAAATGATAGGAACGAGTGTAGAGCGCACTTCCTTCGTCCCCGCTTTCCTTAATTAATAATTATCTCAAATATCCCCCAAAAGTGACCGCGTTCGACTAGGGACGAAGCAGGTACATAGGGCTAACCTGGCTCATTAATTAAACGTGTCCTCCTTAGTTACTCGAAAGAGCGCTGTCCTCGAATTATGGGTGCTGCACTTAGGACCCTAGATATTGAAAAGCTCAACATACATGTACTTGGAAGGATGGGCAACTGTCTATACACACGCAGCGGGCATCGTATGGTCCAAAAGCCTTGCACAGACCGTGATAATTACAGTATACGTCTATACAAGGATCCGGATCTGTGTTCAGGAAAAGAAGTATTGTCAGACTTTTTTACCGATACGGTGGCCATATTGAATTAATTCGATTTAAGGAGTATTACAGGATGCCCAGGGGGCATGAGCACATTTCGTTTGTATTTTCGAGCGCTTTTCGGGACTTTTTTTCTTAAAGTTTTCTTAGAATAAGATTGTAATGGGAAAAATCCTTGTACCGTGTTTGGATGTAATAATGATCGCCTTTTTCTAGTTTAGTATTAGAAATATGGTCTTTTACTGTATATTTCTCGGGAAAAAGGCGATCATTATTACATCCAAAAACGGCACAAGGATCTTTTTTCCCATTACAATCTTATTCTAAGAAAACTTTAAGAAAAAATGTCCGGAAAAGCGCTCATAGAACTGATTATTCCCAGTCCGAGGGCGATCAAAAAAAATTACACTTTACTATTATAAATTTCTTTCCCAAAAGGTTATCAAGAAATCAAGAAATAGCTAGAAATTAATCAACCAATTTATTTATGTCAATACGTGGGATGGGGTTGCACCGATCATCCGAGCCCAAGGCTCATGTATGAAACGTATGAAAAAGTATATAATGGATTTTCTTTACCGTTTCCTTTCCTTTAACAAACAACTTTTCCAACCATGAAATTTGTATTGATAGCTTTTATCAAGGGTCTTTTGTTCGCCTTGACTAGTCGGCTGCCTTGATTCTTGCGCTTCCCAGAATAAAAGCAAACAATGCAATGAATTCAGCATATGACATCCTGGTCCACTTTGTGGATTACATTTCAGATTGTCAATGTTGTTGCAATAGAGATCTCAGCTGGGCTCTACAGCACATTTGATATGACTAGAATTTCCACCCACTGTGAGAGGTATAACATTTTTTATCTGCAAATGTAAGATAATCTGTGTCTGCCGGGTCTTACTGCAAACCAAATTTACCAAAATCATTCTTCGCAATACGCAAGAGGAGCAAGACTGTGTTGAATGGTTGAATCCTCTGTCTCTGAGAGAAACAGGTCAACATAGGAGTTTTATATACAGTTGGACCTTCTTTACTCATCTTAAAGTGATGATAAGTTGGCTATACCCTCGAGTAATCGTGCTTATCTTTAAGATGAAAAAGACAGTAACCCGGGGGAGGGATACTTCCTTATATAAGCTATATAGGTTTCTGCAACCCCATAGGGCAGGGTTTTCGCGTCGTTTTGGTCTGAAAACGGGTATACGCTCGCCCAGTTTGGTCAGGGATCGGGTATGGTTTTCGAGGGAACTACGGAGTGGATTTAAATATTTTTTTTTGTTTCCGCTCTAATCTATGTAATTATAACATAATTTCTGCCTAAAGGCCAGGTCTGAAAACGGGTATGGAAAATTACATTTTTTGGTCTGAAATAGGGTCAGGATTTGGAGAACCGGGCGGCATCCCCGCCCCCCGAGAATTCCCAGGAGTACGCAACTCTCCCCCTCCCCCACCAGGGGGGACAGTAATCGGATTTGCCAAGAGCCCAAGGCTCGGGATATGCAAGAGAATCCAAATCCGGAATCCCTGAAATATTTTTGCTAATGGTATCTGGAATCCTGGAAATTTTGCTTGTGGAATTCGGATCCTGGGCTTTGGAATCCGGAATGTAGCTCAAGGATATCCGGAATGCCACTAACGATTGGAATCGGGGATCCACGACGTGAAATTCAGAATCCAGGATTGTCTTGGATTCCCTTACATGGGGCGACAAGGCGATGTTCTCACCCCATATATCCGGCGAAACTGGAATTCATTGATGACTTTTATTTTTTTTATTTATTTTGGCAGCGTTATTAACAATGAAGATGGCTTTGAATTCAAGGAGATCTCAATAAGGTTAGGCTGTGAAAGGTCAGAGGGGTGTTAGTATACCACAGCAAATCGACTAAAATTCAGCTGTATAACAGCTGTGTGAACTAGCTCGGTGTTCTCATATGGCAGGAGTATTGGGAAGCATTGGGCAAGAAAGATGTGAGTTAAGATAAAGTTTTCCAAAACGGCTGGCGACGGGGGATTTGTAATGGAGACCTGGAGGAAGCAGGCTTTCATTGTCAGAGGGTCCCCAATAGGGTTTTTCACTCCTGTAATCCCGACCCAAAACTTCATGAAATCCCGTAATCCCGAGGGTTATTTTTGGCATCCCACCTCCCGCGCATACTTTCAATCCCAAATCTCGCTCTGATTTTGCTTTAAAGTCCCGAATCTCGAGTTTCAAATGAGGGAGATCACGTATCCCGAAAAACCTATTGAGGACCCTTTTCTTAGCATGACAGCTCGTTAAAAATCTCGCAGAGGTCAAAAAATTTCCTTTGTTTCCTAATGAATCTCAAGTTTCTTTCTAGATTCAATTCGTTGGGTTTCTC